GAGGTGGGGTGGCAATTCTGGGCGCGAACAGAAGTAATATATATTTTATGTTTTTGATTTTAGGTGAAGATTTGCAAAGAGTTAGTAACATACCTGAGGTCTTCCGCGTACGGCACCGTGTTGGAGAAAAGAGTACACCAGGAAGTGGAAACTAGGTGGAACACGGTCCACAAAATGCTTGAGTCCGTGCACCGCAACTTTGAAGGGGTACGCAGATGTCCTATTTGGGTGGGGGAGGGCTCACTTAATATTTTTTTATCGTAAATGATTGTGTTTTCCTAGATTGAGCGGGTTCTGAAGGACATCTAACAGGAGGATAGAATCAAGGAAGGACATCGACCGGGGGCTAGTGGAATGGTTGATGAACTTCTTGCAGCCCTTCAAGGACGAGACTAAGAACGTCGAAGGGAACGACTACCCTACTCTCCCTCTCGTCCTTTTTGCCAAGTGCAACCTGGACTTTGCCTTGGAGCGGCCCTGTTAGATACCCCTGCTCAGGCTTCGCCGCGGAATCGGACAGCGCTTATTCAAGGCAAAGTTCAAAGTGACCATGCAGCACAAGATAGCGACATTTCTTGTCCTTAAGTACGGAAAGCTGCAGATGATCAGCGCGAAAATGAGAGAAGAGGTGAGTTTGATCTGCTATTGCACTTACTTTATTCTATTTAGGGCCAATTCTTTGTTTATTCCAGGTACATGATGCATCAGGATTTTTCGGGCTTCCAGCGGAATGTTACCGAGCCCCACCATGAGCAAGAGGCGCAGCCGGCTGCTGGGTCACCCACAAAGAGGCGCAGGGTCCACACGGGGTACGAGAGTTGGACCGAGAAGCCTGACGAGGAGGCCGAGCTCACGTCACGTACTACATCAAGTGGGGGCTGCCAACTATAGCCCATCCCATTTCATGGGTCGAAATCGTGAATTTCGGGGGTACATGGCCTAAATGGTAAATTTTACCTATGAGAGACCCTGTGCAAAGTCCAGGGCCCGTGCGACAACGTTAACCCGGATCGCATTGCGATTTTCGTTTTGGCCCAACCTTGGTGCCAAACAGGCACGCCATCTTATAGGCGCTGCACTGCGCGCACGGTGGGACCGAGGCCGAGGCGAACGACACGGGCTGAAAGTGTTACCCTATGGGTCCTACTTTGTATCACATATGAAGGATCCGTGCTACCGAAACACGCGACGTGTCTATAGGGGCCTAATCGTGCGCTCGACGTCACTCGCCATTTACAGAAAATAATGCCGACGTAGCCCTAACTTTTTATTGCATGAAAACCGAGGGCACGCCGAGACCTTTCAGAATCAGCAATGTCAGCGGGGTAGCGGTGAGGCCGTAAATGGAAAAGGCAAAAAAAGTCCGCCTGTGTCCGAGGTTACTGTGCACTACAGGCGTGTAGAGCGGGCAGGCTAAGTGACGTCACCACAGGCGCAAATACCTGTTTTTCAAACTTTTTCTTGTGAACGCGTAACCGCTACCCCGCAGACATTACTGATTCTGAAAGGTCCAGTGTGTCCTCGGTTTTCATGCAATAAAAAGTAAGGGCTTCGTCGGCATTATTTTCTGTAAATGGCGAGTGACGTCGGGCGCACGATTAGGCCCCTGGACACGCCCCGTGTGTCTGGAGCTCGGATCCTTCCCATCTGATACAAAGTAGGGCTCATAGGGTAACACTTTTAGCCCGAGTCGTTCGCCCCGGACCCACCGTGCGCGCAGTGCAGCGCCTACAAGGTGGTCTACCTGTTTGGCCCCAAGGTGGGGCTAAAACGAAAATCGCAATGCGATCCGGGTAAACGTTGGCGCGCAGGCCCCGGACTTTGCACACGGTCTCTTATAGGTCAAAACTACCATTTAGGCTCCGTACCTCGAAAACTTTCTTGGGGGTGGGAAGGGCTGCTAGCCAACTATCGGCGTGGTCTCTACTTTGCTCGAGTATTGGAACCAAGAAGTAAGTTTTTTCTTTACTGTAAGTCTCTTACCTTTGCAATAAAGTACAATTACAAACGTTTTACCCCTCGTTCTGTTCAGGCTGACGCCGACCCCTCAAAAGGCTTCATGCGAAGCCTTGACGCACCTTGCGCTACGGGAGATGGGCAAACCCGCTACAAGTGCGCCCAGCGAGCGCGTATTCAGCTCTGCGGGCTTCGTCATGCAGGCACGGCGTAGCGGAATGTCTTCCTCCACTCTGGACAAAGTTCTATTTATGGAATATTACCTAGCCAATAAAGTAAAACTAAGGATGTAATACGACCCGTTCACTCATTTGTCTATTTCACACACGCCAGACACAGTTCGCTTTTATATTTAATAATTATCTAATTTGTACATTCTTCGTTTACTATTCGAGGGAGTAGAGGTCCAAAAGGTCGGTGGGTACTTCAAAAGTTTATGGGCGCTCCTTCAGCACTAGAGGAGGGTGGGGCACCTGGAAACAGTGGTGATTTTGCGAAGTGTTTCAAATAGACCGTTGCGACGGCAATTTGGTAACACCGCAAAATTTCCTTTGAAATGTAATCTGGGCATGTTTCTGAAAAAGTCCAACACTCGGACATAGTAAATTTTCTAAGGATTCGCGTGGTGATGAGTAATTTTGTTGACAAACACTCTAAATCAGTAGTATAGATTACCCCTAGTCACCCGCCGCCATTTTGATTACCCCTAGTCACCCCGGCCCCCAGTCACCCCACCCCTAGTCACCCCGGCCCCTAGTCACCCCACCCCCCAGTGACCACCCTCCGCCATTTTGATTCCCCCTAGTCACCCCGGCCCCAAGTGGCCCGGCGCCATCTTGAAAGAGCAAGGGAGGGCCTAACCCACCGCGAGGACCGAGGTCGCCGTCAAGAAGTCCGCCCGGAGCCGCCCGCCCGGGTGAGGTCGCCGTCGAGGAGCCCGCCCCCGCGCACCGGAGCCGCCCGCCCGGGGCCACCGCGCACCGGTTAGAACGCGTCTTTACCGCCCGCCGGCGCACCGGGACCGCCCGGGTGAGGTCACCGTCAAGGAGTCCGTCCGGGTACCGCGCACCGGCACCGCGAGGTAGCCGTCAAGGAGTCCGTCCGGGTCCCGCGCACCGGGACCGCGAGGTAGCCGTCTAGGAGTCCGCCGTGGCCGTCGTGGGCTTCACTCCACAGATCCAAGAAACATTGGATTGGCTCAGATAAGGTCAAAGCATTTCACAGATTTTAC